CTCTATACATGCATCCCAGTCAGCAATTCAATCTGCATCTTATGTGTAGTTAGAAATCTCCAAGATGCTTTGTTGTAGAAATTGCAGTCTGCGCCCTACTCTTTTAAAAACAGGATGTGAAATCAGCAAATGTACTCATACATATATATAGCACATGCATAAATATGCATCAATCAACTCAAAGAATGAAAAGCAGAAATCCACAAGATACTAAGAAGGCTGAAGAGAAACTGGTCCCTTCACTTCAGAGATCAAATTTACTCTGACAAAGCAGAACAAACGTTATGAATCCACTGAATTCTGAACTGATTCAAACAAGGTAGGAACTGATATTAAATCCATATGAGCTCAGAGGGTGTCTGTGGTACCAACAAATGCCCAGTCACAATTTGCATTGAAGCCTGGAGCAGTGTGCAAAATACACACTCCATGGTTTATTACATAGGCAAAATCTGAAAGAATGACATGGATCAGGGGTGAAGCTAATGTCTGATCATATTGGCTTGATGGTTTTTCAAAGACCCTTAGGGTCTCTTTCCAAGGTCTGGGTACAGAGCTCCTTCAGACGTGAAAGAAAATGTTAATGAATGGGTTCCTATAAATGCATGACTTTCCTCTTCGCTGGGGGCCAAGAATTACTTCACTACCCTTGCAATTATTCACTGTGGGTTCATCAACAACTGCTAATGTAAAGGTTGTTGTCTCATCAGTTTGGTTTGCTTTGCATTACTGCTGCCTTGGAACAAACTGTGACGGTTTCTCGGGGTGACAAGCTCAGTTCTTGGTAGAAATGGAATTTCAAGCCCGGTAAGTGGGTCTCTCCTACTTGCTTGTGCTCACTGCCAATTAGAATGAAGTAACCTTCTCAGAGGCCACCTGTCACATGTTTACCTTCTCAAGATAGCAGACCACACAAGAATACCTTTGGGACAGGAGAAACAAAAGTCAAAATATTGTACAAGAGCAGAAAGGTCAGGGGGATCCCTGTATGATTTGATGACTATTGCACTGTAAATATACACATCCCTGACTGTAATTTGCATACTGATCACTGCAGGACCTATTCCTGGTTTCTACTGTATTACAATTAATGTATATATCATACTGCCATGGCCAGTCAATTAAACATATTAACTGAATATGTAGCTTTTAAAAGACTCAACTAAGCAAAACCCCTGAATTAAACTCTTTCAGGTGTACACACTAACCAGGAAAACAGGCTCTGAAGAACAGAGCTGGCGTTCAGGTTCCAAATGTTTAAACATACAGTAGTCCAGCTGGATCACATACAGTAATTGCACAGTTCATAATATTGCACCTGATCGCTGCCTTTGTGAAAAGACAGACAGTTTTGTCCTGTAGTTGCACTGGTTCGATACCTGTGCAACAACAGTTCAGTTCTCCCAAGTCTTATGCTTTGAGATTTCTTTTCTAACTATTGCAAGTATAAGCACAGTGAATTTAGCATTATGTAAATGACACACCACTTTCCCCGGCTTTTATAATGCACTGAATTTTATGTTTGGCTGAATAGGCTTACAATTATGAAGAGCCCTCTACAGATGATTTAACTTTTGATTTATTTGTACTGTTCTCAATCAGTCTGCATAATTGGCAATTTAATGTAATTTAATAAAATCGACCTTTCTGTGATTTCAGTAAACATGGTATATTACTATGTTTAATGTAGTGGACAGACTATTCAACATGCAAAGCATCAGGGTGTTTTAAATGTTTAAAAGGTTCTACTTTATCATAATTGTTAGGAATATATATCTGGATGAAAAGGAAAAAAACAGCTCAAATGAAAATATTAAAATATTTCATATTTATTTGCCCTAGTAACAGTGACATTTTAATTTTTGTTCAAGAATCTTCTAAGAAGCACAGCGCAGGCAGTGTGTCAACATCTATTTAGTATATCAATTTCTGTCAATAAGAAATACATCCAAAAGGTAAAACCTTGTAATTCCGTGGGGTATGAAATCAGAGCCTCAAATACATAAATAAAAAACATCTTTGGCTCTGATTATTTTTCAGCTTCTTTTCAGAAATCTCCAAAGGTCAAAAGGCTGAGGTCTTTGAAGACAACAACAATTCATGCATCACCTTTTTTTTTTTAAAAAAAAGATTCATGCATTTCTTTTGAACTTGATTAGCACCTTAGAGGAAAGAAGCTTGGAGTGAAGTGTAGTTCTATGACATGCTTAATGGATAAGTATGATAAAAGCTGTTGTGCAGGATACATGGGGAAAAAAAATCAAGCAGCCGAATTGCACATCAGCTTGAAAAATGTTCCTGAATATGGAGCATGAGCTCTGGAGCTCATGAAGAAGAAAGCAAAGTGACAGCTGCAGAATAGGAGTGACGCGTAAGGCAGAGGAGTGACAACGGACAAACAAGAAAACTGACAGCCTTTTCCCCCAGGGGACAAACCGAGCACGAGAGAGTGGACGAGCTCTGGGGTAAACTGATAAGCTCTGGAAGTCGTTCAAGGAAACGGTGTGGATAGGATCAGCCGCAGTTTGGTGCGACAATTAAAAGAAGCAACAAATTATGTCGCACGGCGGTCTTCTGATAACTCGGTCAGCTGTACAAGATAGTGGCCAAAAGATAAAACTGACAGAGGAAGAATTACATTAACTATAAAAAGAGGCTCACACCTCCATCTCTGAAAAAACATTAATGACACGCGTGCCCCCCTCTCCCTGCTGAAATCTCAACTGCTGAGGCTGGAGGTGAATTGCAAACTGCGTGGCCTGTTTGTGTTTTTTTTCAGGACTACTTACTGGAGGGTAAAAAAAGACCTGTCAGTGCCCGAGTCTACTGCAGAGTGTGCAAGGAAACAAAGTGAACAGGCCTTCAGCTGAACCGCTATCTGTAGTCACACTGGGAGACACTGAAAACGCTGCCTTCCTGCAATGTTTTATTCTCTGTTTCTCTCAACACCTGTTCCTCCTGCAATTCGTCAGGACAGATGCTTACATTTGGGTACAACTGAGCGATCAAAATGCCTGCTGAGTTTTAGCACCACCTTGTTTTGTGTCCTGATGAAAACAAAATATAAAACACTCCATCTTGACAAGGATGCCTGTTGGCATTCGTAAAACCACATACCAGCTCAAGACATTTCATTTGGGCTTTTTTTTAGCCTGTAGAGAAGCTTGCAGTGGTTTTTGTTTCTCCCCAATGTGCTGCTGTTGACATACTGTACATCAGAAAAAAAATTAAATAAAAGCAGGTGTTGCTATTGATGATGTGTTCTCAGATTCTTAGACAGCAAGCAGTAATTTGTTCACACTGGAAAAGTTATTGCAGAAAATGATGAACGCAGCACGTCTATTTTTAATATCACGAAAACCAAAGAGCTAGCAGTGTTGAAAGTCTATCTAGCAAGGAGAAGAAGAAACCAATCACTTAAACTTGAGTCCACATCGTCACGTTACCCATCCACCAACTAACAGATGAAGTACTGGAGTTGACCTCATCATAATATCAACTATGAGCAGGTTGCCATTTATCACTTTACTGTATTTAGGACATCCAGACAAGAAACAATCGTCGCAAAAATCAATAACCTGCAGCTGTTTTCATGCTTTATTTGGAATAATAAAGCTAAAGCAAGATGTGGGAGCAGTATATTTTCACACAAATCAATGGAAGTGTTTCTACCAGATTTACTGGCTTGTTAACAGATAAATTCCTACAGAACCTGCTCCCTCTTCACACAGGCATTGCCATCTGCTCTATTTACATGCTCCGACACATTCGTTCCAACTGCCATCAAATTAATAAACGAATAAACGACTTTTTAAAATTATTCCATGTATTAAAGTGCCAGTTTAGCAGGTCATATTTAGTAAATAGCCTGTTAGTCCTGTGTCAATTCTTTGAAGATTACTGCACGCTATTACCTGTCCCTGACCAACTCATCAATCACTTAAACACACATTTCTGCCCTTTATGTCATAGATCTATTGACTTTAAAGCAGCAATGAATTTAGCCAACTAGAATATTAATGATGTGCAACAAACACATCAGACCCTTATCCGGGAAATAAAAACGAATCGTTCTGTCACATTCAGGATGAAAACCGAGCGGTTCCGATTTTTAGCACATGGTCACATCCGGAGGAGGTTGTGGGTTAGAACTGGGTTTGGACGGTATGCTGGGCTGAAGCTAGAGACTCCCCCGCAGCTCCTAGAGCAGACGAAACAAAAGACACAAACTCACTCCTGCAGGTAAGTCTGGCACCTCCCTACAGCACCTGGTGTCTTTGGGAAGAAAAAGTGTGAGCCTCTCACACAGACACCCCTCCAGTTTTCACAGCAACAACAGGTAATGCTTTCAACGTGTGGCTTACATTGACTTCACAATTATATGGAATTGCTTCCTAACCTCACGTTCAATGTTGAATTAAATGAGTTTCAGTTAGTGTCGGACTAAAACTAACTCCGTTTTCAATAAGGGAATGTAAAAAACATGAAATGACTGCGCTCCTTAACCCTGCATTCCTTTCACATGGATAAATGTCCTCTTCATATAATCAAAGCCAAGCCTAATCCAATCATACAATAAGTATAAACAAAGCATATTTTTCTTTTAGTGTTGTTATTTCTCTTGTCCTCCAATAAATCTCGTCTTTTGTTAACTGTTAACTGAAATTTGACAGTTTTGTGTTTATGCGCAACAGCAACTCGGTTTTTAATCATTTCTGCCACGTAAAAGGGAAGTGTTTTCACACCGTGCGCACGATAGTGGGAGCAGATACCACTAGCATGTGGTCTTCTGGTGAGTAACACGACTTTTTGAGGAATTTAAAAAGACACTAACAGAAGAGTATATAGTGTTTTTTTCACAGCGCTAGTTTTGAGGTTTATAATGCCCTGCACCTTTGTATAATGAAGTACCATCACTGAAGGAGACCCTCCTCAGAGTGCTGATGGCCCTACGGCTCACACAACCGGACGGGAATACTTTTCCCAGGACGGGGACTCACCTCTTGCTTGGGGACACTCACGTAGCCTACGTGTGGTTTGAAGGCCTTGGGCTGCAGACGAGAGGAGACCCATCGGCTGCTGAAGGCCTGGCCCAAGACCGGCTGCAGTAAAAAGTAGGGCTTCTCTGCGTAGTTCACCATGGCGACGAAGAGAGACACAGCCACCAGCAAGCTCATGGCAATGACAGACTTCCTCTGAAAGAAACAGAACAGCAGAGGGGCAGGTGGATGTGACAGCAGGCTGGTATGGCTTGAGGACTGGTGAGGAAGCCAGCAGCTGGAAAATCACCAAATTCCGAACAGGCACCACTTTTTGATTCAAGCAGACCATTAAAACCTTCAAAAGAGGAGTACAGCCCTCCCCAGGAAAAACACAGACTGAAAATGGATGGAGGGGTTGAAACTAAGAGAGGAACGGCTGTGCTAACACAGATTTCAAGGGGAAGATTTCACTTGCACAGATGATAATATTGTAACGCAACGGGGGCTCAGGCTGGCGCCCTTGCCGCATTAGGTCGGCCCCTGCACCGTCCGGGGCTCGAACCCGGGACTTCCGCGTCTCTCTGCAGCGACCTAGCCCGGTGAGCCAAAGAGAGATCTCTCTACAGCCCAGTAGCTGTGGTCCTGCTATCACAGGGAAGGGCGGTGACGTCACCTGCTCTGGTACGCCGGCTCTTACACAGTGCCTGTCGGCCGTAAGCGTTACAATATGATTATTTTTTCAACTAGGAAAGCTTTGATTTTGTGAAGAATAAAAAAAAACCTTATATCTTTAGAAAATATATAGTCTTAATATTATTAAATTGATTCGCTTTATTCAAATGATAAAGTACTGTATAGTTAAAAGTATAATCTCTCAGGTTTTGTGTTTTCTGAAGCAAAATTGGGTTAAAATTTTTAACCAGTCTTTAATTTTAATGTGGTTTAGAACTGCAGGTCTTAAAAAAGCAGAGCAATGGATATTTGACATGGATAACACATCATAAAAGCTAAAGTACAAAAGAGGAGACGAACAGAGCACAGCAGCCTGTGAAAAAAGAAATCACACATCTGTGAAATGGGAACCTGGCTTTTAGCATAAGAAATCATGTGATAAACTAGCATCACGAAAGTTATGGGTCACTATGTTATCTTAATAGGATCCTTTTCAATTACATTCAAACAGCCGTTTGGTTTAAAATACTATGATCTACTATGTATGTTTTTAATCTGTCACTGACTTTTTATAAAAGATGTTTTTATTCTTCAATGTATAATTCTTTAACAAGCACACCTGTGATGGAAAAAATATTGTTTACCGGAAAGTACAAATTCAAGCCCATTTAGACTCATTTAGACAAACAGACCTGGTAAAACAGGTTTATTGTAAGAGGAGATGCAATATCAGCTTTTTCAAAATGCAGTTTGCTCCTATTTTAAGAAGAGTCCAAGTTACTGTACTGTACATCGGTATGTATAAAGCACTTACAGTAAAAGGGCTTGAACTACAGTATCTGTGAGCACTGTTACTCCAATAATACTGTCTTTAACCACATTTCCTAAATATCAACCTAACTAGGTTTAAGATGTGAAAACTGTGAAGCATCATAAACACCATGACACCATTCTGCATTTAAGTTGACAGTTTTTACAACAATCTGCAATCCAGATCCTGGAGTGCCTTGATCTATTCAATTTGATAGTTTCAGATCTATTCAAATCATTAGTTTCAGAAGATTGGGAACACTTGTAAATTATTGTTCAATGAAGCAAGCAAATACTTCGGTTAAGGCAGTTCTTAACCTTCAGGGCTTGAGAGTTTTTGTTTGAAATGATCTGTAAATTCCTTCATTTAACACATCACATGCAACATTTTTCCATGCCTTTCAAAATTAGTGACTCAACTACTGCCTAAATAGAATGTGCTGGACTGGAGCTCTTCAGAAACTGAGTTGGAGATGCCTAATTTAGGCGGAGATTCCCACTGGAATAAAAATAGCAGGAATTACAAAGTTCACACTGAAGTCCATTGAGACCTGAGATGTTATGCAAAGGATTGTGGGAGTCTTGAACAAGCTACCCAGCCATATTGTTGAAGCCGATGTCCTGGCTTCTTCCAAGAAATGACTGGATGAGATCCTGATATCAATTAACAGCAAAAAAATTACCAAACAGGCCAGATGGGCTGAATGACCTCCTCTCGTCAGTTAACTAGTGCTACTGCTGCTGTGGTCAGATCTTTGTTGCTCTGTACTCCTCTACCTATAGGAATACAGTGCAACAAAGTAATTAATTTTGTTGATTACATTTTGGTGGTCCTTTTAGTAGAAGGAGTAGGACTTTGGGGGAGGGAAAGGGGTGTGTTGTTTTGTAATTCATGTTCAGTTTTGTTGTGAAATGTTATAACAGATACAAATTTGCACCCCAAAAAAAGAAAAGAGAGTTTAGTTTACAAAATCAATGTTTTCGAATGATTAGAAACTACTATGAAAGACCTGTGTGATCACGGCCCTTCAAGGAACCCAAAGCTATTGCAAAAGGTAGAGCTCATTTTAATCTACACACTGTTGCACGTTCCTTTAATGTGCTTTATTGTTTTTCTGGGCCTGAGCAAAGTCACCCAGTGCTTGAGTTTAAATCTGGGCTTTCCAAGATTGTACAGATCTGACAGGAGTAACTGGGTCATACAGCACTCAGCACCAGAGCGACCCAGTACCTGCCAGCTAAGCAGAAGTAATGAGTGGGGAGTCACAACAGATATGCATCCCACAGTCAAATGATTCTTTCGTTCCTGGTTCCACAGCGTTGTGAAATTCTTAACATTGATGGTGTGCAATAAAGTAAATCCACAATTGCCAAAAATGTATTCTGGATGTTCAACCTCTCCATTCTGAGAACCTTAGGCGCTGGTTTTGGTACATCTATATCTTATTCACTTTTAACCCCCCCACACTTAAAGAACAAAACCCAAATACAGTTTCCAAAGGATCAACCACAATTAAATTTAAAGCTTAAAGTTTGTGAAACACACCAGAAGACTTTCAGACGTAAGCACTCCGGCACCTCTCTCACAGACCTTGCTTTCTTCTGCATCCAGAGGCGAACAGGTGCCTCATCTAATGTCAGCTCTTCTGCTAAAACCCAAGCCTGTTCTGCGGAACTTCGACGCTTCTTTTCTTTTACTCCTTCTGAGGGCCGTGAAATCACGTGAGCGACACGCGGTCTCCTGAACAGCGCAGGATACGAGGCTTGCAGCTCGGCGCTGGTCGCTGCCGAGCTTCGGGAAGCTGCAGCTCCACATTTATTCAGTTTCCAGCCTCTCCAGAGGCCTGTTTGATTGCCTCTCCAAATTGCCTGGATGCTGACATGGGCAGATATGCTGTTGCCATGGTCCCTTTCACAATTCGCAGTTCGCAAACCAACGGAGCACAGCAGAAAACAGCGTTCAAACCCCCGCACAAAGTTTAGGAAACTTTAGGGAATTTAAAAATGCTTCTGTTTGTTTTTAAATTAAACAGGCTCCAAAGCCATTCTATTTCTGGCATCAGAGCTTGAAACATGCAGTTAGAGTCATTTGTCTATGAATTAGCGCTGAAAAAAATAATAATTTCGTGAGGCCTCATTGTAAGCTATACTTGAATAATTTAATCAATAACTGCAGGAGAAACATGCCTGTCTTTGCTAATAACTGAAAGTTACTTTATATAATTATATCCCTTAAGATCGCTAGGAAACTGACTTTTAAATTACCTTGACATTTCTTATATAAGAAGCAAAACATTACGACATTTCCAAAGTGTTAAGGTACAGTATGTTGTATTAGCACATTTATTTTCATTACTAAACATTAATTTGGTCTTTAAAAGACATCTCCCCCAGACCCCGCGATGCAAATCCAGTTTTTGCACCACAGAGTAGCACAAGAACGAATTATGAGAAACACTGCCTATGCAGTTCTGCAAAAACCAGAGAAGTCGGAGAAATAAGGAATGGCACTAGCACCCTGCTGAGAAATCAGATTTCACAGCAGTGGAGCTGCTCTCCATCATGAAAATCAAGCCCCATTGTAAAATACCATTGCAATTATCTTGGCTTGTGCAATATCCTTTCTTGACATCGAGACGTTAAAATGTGTAGGGCTGAGCCATCCTCATTGCAGTGCTCATGCACTCAGTGCACCCTTTTATAATCCTATGCATAACTAAACAAATGTACTATGACTTCCTCCAAAGGGCCAAAGACAGAAACCACTGGTCATGACAAGTTATGCAATTATATCCTTTGGGAAAGCAGTGACAGCACAGCGACTGCACAGCTTCTTAAAGTGCATGAGAAATGGCTTGCAGGCACACTGCGGGATTCTGAGAAACTCTGAAACCCCTCTGCCCTCAGAATCTCAAATGTCACTTTTAGCTGTTCTCATGGCAACAAAGAGAGAACGAGTGCCTCCCTTTGATTTCAATCTGGGCCCACAAATAATCTTCTAATGATGTGTCATATTTAGGTTAAATTGAGAGGCCCTGGGGAAAATCAAATGCATTTCCACCAGTTGAATGAAGAACACGCAACTCTGCTCATCTTCGCCTATATATCAGTCAGATCATTGGCAATGTCACCTAATGCAGAATTTCACAGATTATTAAACTTGGGAATAGGCCCATCCATAACTCGGTGTCACTAGGAAAGAGGAAGAAAGTGTTGTCATACCCTCTTTAGAAGGGGCAGCCGAAACGCACCTGCTGTAATAAGGAACTGGCTTTATTTACTCCTGAGCTCAAGCACGGGTTTTTCCCAATCCGCGCAGAAATATTTGTGCTTTTACATTGCTGTACGCTGTGAGCCCAACTTCTTTCAATACAAACAGAACCTAGTTTTCAGAAAAATGAAATATCCTTCAGTGTTGTGGGGGAAAAAAAAAACTTTATTTTTATATACAGTACAGTAAAAGGAAAGGATGAGTTTTCCACGAGGGCTGCAGGTTGTTCAGATTTCTGTTTCACCCTCTGGTCTTAAAAGCTTAAATGAACTGCCTTGGATAAGAAGCCAGCTATTTCTTCTTCCTTATGTCTTGTTGTCCTTCAAGAGTGTGACTTTGTCATATAGTTTTGCGTTGGGATGGACACCCACTGTGATCTGTAAGGCATAAAAGCACAAATCATAGACCAAATGTGTGCACCCACTGCAGCATGGGCAGGCTGGCAGGCCACAGGAGGTTG